GTCTAGTGTGATGATCAGAGGAAGAAAGATACCGACCCGCTCCCAGGTGCTTGGGCAGTCTAGGTAAAGAATAAGTAGTATTCTTCAGGGATCGGTATTGTCAGGGGAAAACCGGATAAAGATGGGCACCACCAACACTCAATGATGGAGAAGTGGAAGAAGAGTGAAGCTTGTTGGTCATCATACGAACTTCCAGAACATAGCTGGGGAATGTGCAAGGGACACAGAAACCAAAATTGCAACCTGAGTGTTGTTTTTGTTCCGCTATGTCTTCTAGTCTTCCATCCTTAATCTTTCTCCAACCACATCTAATAGAGAAGGCAGTCATGTGGTCATCCTTCTTTTCTTTCTGTGGTCTTATCCCAGCTCAGGTCAGGTTTGTAGGGATACAGTGAAAGAAATGAACTCTGATGCCTAGTTCTGCATATATCCCGTGACAATTACCCCAGCGCAATTGTGCATATTTTCTGGAATATTCATTGACCACATGCTGCCCTGCCTTGGAGAATATTTTGCTTAATGTTGTTCAGAGTCTAGCCTGGCTTCCCCAATAACCCATGTTGATATTACCATGGCTCCTCCATCATCCTGCCCCACTAACTGCTGTCCCAGTGCTCTACCGCCCACATGTACCATTAAAGTCACCCAGGTCAACAGTGGAAACAGATGTGGACCACCTGAATTGGCCCATGAGCTTATAAAAGATACTAGTTTACATGGAAAAGTACAGGCGATATAAGAGGGCTCCTATTTCCTTGAGAGTCCCTGTGGTGAGGCAAAATATCTTAGATTCCTGTAAGCAAACCTAGACCTGGACCCATGCAATTGGGCTACCTTTAAAAATGCTATTGGAGCTACCATGAACTATGTATTCATCTTCAAAATATGTCAAAAGTGTTTGATAATTTTGGACATTCAAGAGACATGAAACATGAATTTTGCAAGTTCTTGGAAGTGGGAGAAGATGTGGGTCGCTTTAGGACTTATAAGTAGCTCAGCAGGGCTACAGTCTATGTGCAAGTTGGAGAGGTGCTAAGAATGAACAGTAAGTAAGGCTTGATGGATATGGGTGGTGTTTGTCCTTGTAAGTGTTTTGCAGTTTTGCTGAGTGAATCTGAGAGCCATTGGGAAGATGGGAGTAGCATAGTAAGATCCCCATTCCACACAGGTCCTTCTATCCAGACCAAGGCAAATGGATAGTAAGAAGCTAGATAGATTCCAACAGGGCCTCCCCTGTTGGCTTATTTAGCTTCTGCCATCCAAGCTCAGCTTGCGTGAGGACTATGCAGGAGCTTTGCTCTTACTGGGAACTCAGAGGCATCCTGCTTTGCCTGTCCCATAGCACAAGGAAGGGGCTGGATCTCCTCTCACTAGGGCAGTTTTCCCAGGCCAAGTATCTGCAGCATCTTTAAATGCTCTCCAGGAGGACAGGGACATGAGGGCCTGGGCAGCACTGGTGGGCACTCATTGGGCAGAGGAGGCTATAGATATAGCAGGGTGACAAGACTCCCAGGACATCTTTTTCTCCTTATGCATCACAAATCTATTATTCTCCATGCATGGCAGTCATCAGGATAGGTAGAGGCAAATTCTGTCAAGGGACTAAGAAGAAGCTACTCTGGAAAGGAGATCTGGGGCCACTGTTTCTCTGCCACTGTTCCCTAAGGTGCGGGTGTGGATGGCACAGTGGCGGTTTCTCACAGTTCTCCCTGGGGGAGAGTTGCCTGTGAGTGAATTTTCATTCCTGAGTTCTCTGTTCAGTTGTCTTCCAAATCATTTTCTAAGCTATCTCCTCAATGCCCCTAGGTTTAAGTTCATGCTATATGTGGACCATTCTTGTACATGTCATTCCAGTCTGGGCCTGAAAATCTCCATTAGAGTGGTTACAAGTATCTCAGTTTTAGAAACACCCCCACACCTCTTTCTTCTTTTGGAAGAAGCAGCTCTACCCTTTGTTTAGCCATCAACGCCTGAAGTCTTTCTTGAGGTCTCCCTCAAACCCACCTCCAGTCCCCTCTGGCAGCCTGGCTGTGTGTATTCAGAACCTGGCCACCACTTACCCCGCACGGAAACTAGCTGGCTCCCAGCTGGTCGCTTTGTCCCTCTTGGGTCACTGAATTCTGATTAGTGGCCTTCTTCCTTTTTTGCTTTTCTGTGGTTTGTTACACATTCAGTAGCCAAAGTGATCATTTGAAAAGTCAAGTCATGCTGGATTTATGCTCAGAAATTTCCTTTGGGCTTCCACGTCTCTTGAAGCAAAAGAAACACTCCCCCAGCGGTCTCCAGATGCTAGGCGATCTGGTTCCGAGATAGCCCTGCTCTCCTGCTCCCCTGCTCCCCGTGCACTTGCTGGCCCATCCCACAGTTTGTTCCCTGCTCCAGTCCTGCTGGCTTCCTTCTCTGTTCCTCAAAAATGCCCTTAGACCTTTGCGTTTGTCGCTCCCGGGGCCTGAGCTGCGGCCCTTCAGATATTTGCATGGCTCAGCTCCTCACTCCTTCCATTGAACCACTGCTCAAATGACATCTTTTCAAAAAGGATGACACTGCATGCCCGCCCCATGTAAAATAATAATTCTCCTTAATCCTTTAATACCTGGATGTTATTCTCCAGAGAATTTACTACGATTCTCTGATTTAGCTGTGATAAGTTAACTAATACCATGATAACAAATCCCCAAATTAAGTGGCTTATTATGTAAGATTTCTCCAGCTTATATTAGATTCAGAGAGCCAATCATTAAAGTTTTGGAAAGTTGGTAAGCCAGTTGTTACAACCATTATAAAAGTTCAATTATAAAAGCCATTAGTTATGTGTCACTTCTTAAACATTTTACTATTATTGTAAGACTGATATTATTCTGTATACTGTGATCTGTGTCCTTGATGGTATTAATGATTATCGTGTCTGCATGGCAGAAATACTGTTTAATAACGTGCTACTACTGAGCCCAACTAAATCCTCGCCTGGGGACGCCATGTTGAAATCAGCCACCTCGTGAATGCTCACATGCTGATGAAATCAGGAAGAGCTACAAAGCGAGGTCTATTTATTTATTTACTTTTGTGCGTTTCTGGATTTGAGAAAGTGATGAGGTAACCAGTTATGATTCAGATGCAATATAAAGGTGTGTCATGACTACACCCATTTCAATAGAAAAACATAAAGCACTTGAGACGGTATTTTTCTAATCTTCAAAAATTTATACTGGAGGGCTGGCCAAATAGCTCAGCAGATTAAAGTGCCTGCAAGTAGGCGCAGGGGCCGAGGTTCAATCCCCAGGGCCTGCCCTGCCATCCCCATCCCCCAGGGCACACTGAGATTGCAAATGAGACTGGGCGTGGTGGCACACGCCTGTAATCCCAGCTCTTTGGGAGGCTGAAGACAGGAGAATCACTATGAGTCTGATCTAATAGTGAGACCCTGAACACCCTGCAGACCCTTGCCTAAAATACAGGAAAAAAAAATTTATACTGGATTGAAAATTTAAGGTGACTGAAGACAAGTCACTTGCCCTGTTGCTAAATGAGTGGTTGTACCCTAAGTCTTCATTGTTCTCTCACTTGTAAGTGAACATCTCAACCAACACTCAAGTTGACGCCACACTCCTTTGTGAGTTGGGACCATGGGCTGCCTCTGGAAGCAAGACTCGAGCAAAAATGAAGAAAGCACTTATGTGTCCATAGGTGTGTACTATTTCAAGACTACTGTGGACTATATTATTTTTAAATGGCAGCCTTCTCATCAGTAAAACCCATGACACACACATACACACGTGTGCCTGCTGCCACACGCCTCCCTGGGGAAGGCTGCTGGCCGCCCACGCAGTCTGTCCTTCAGGTTCTCTCCATGCCACGCACAGCCTGTTTGCAGCCCTCACTCTGGGCCTAGGTCAGGGCACCTCCACTATTGGAAGCACTGCTGATTACTTTGTTGGGGGAAGAGGGCTGGAACAGAAGTGGTACCCGCTCTTCCTGTGTACCGAAGTAAGAGAGCAGAGAAGCTCAATCCCACCACATGCTGGAAGAGGGAAAAGGTGAGCAGAAATATCTGTGAACAGCCTAAAGAGCACCATACTGCGTTAGGTGTTTGCTCTTTGCTTCACTCCCACACTTGAATGTAGCTTCCACCAGAGAGGTGTTTTTTTCAACTGCTGAATCTCAACTGCTGAGCACCTTGGAGTTGCTTGATATTTTCTGAATGAACCTGCAAGATTGATCTGGAGGAGTGAGGCTTGGGAAGCCCTTGTGCATCAGTAGAGAAGATCATCATCCCTTGTTTTATGCAAGTCTTCATAAGTAATGTATTTCTGTTTCTCAGTCATCCTCTCCCCCCAAGCAGTTGGAGACATGTGGCAGAGGAACCCACAGAGATGCATGTGGCTGTGTTATCTGAACACAAGTTAGGTACCTGTGACACAGAATAAAGGAGGTGGCACCCTCAGATCCACGCAAATGCAGCCAGTCCCAACAGGAGGCATTTGCTTACATTTGGGGTCCTAGGACACTCGATGGCCTTCCCCAGTTTTGGGCTCCACCAGAAACTCTTGGTTCCACAGCTTCAGAAGCACTTCCTGATACCTCCGTTTAGCCAAGAAAGTACTATACTAGCCCTTCATGTAACTGTCTAGTTCATCAACCAGTACTTAACTCAGTTCTCTACCTACTGCTCGTCTGTAAAAGGAGGAACTTGGCTCTTGGAAAGCTCAGTGACACTTCCAAGGTCAATTAGGAAGGGGCAGAAGCATGATTTGAATGCAAGGTTTATGCCTAGTCCTGCTGATCTAGGACTTCTCGGTTACCCTGTGAGGAAGCAGAAACCACTATCTGGGCAACACTGGACCTAACATCGCGTGCACAGATGACGAAGCCAACACACACACACACACACACACACACACACACACACACTACCACAAGCACACTCGCATCAAAGTGTGCGCCTTTGATTCACATTAACAGATACCGGATAGAAAGAAACCCCAGCTTGACCAGAATTGCTTTTTTTTCTTTCAGTTTTTATTGAACACAAGTATTCTGACCAAATGCAAAGTCAAAATTCTCAGTTAGTACTCAGTATTTACACCAGTGAGAATGGAAACAAAGGTGGTGTTGATGTTTCACTTGGTAAAAAGTTTTTATAACAAGAGAGAAGGCCCCCAAAGTACAGAATGTTGGGTAGGGATGTTAATGGAGGTCTGAAAACCACCATCTAGACAGACAGCCTAGGGCGAAGAGCTGGGACATGGAAGGTTCCATAGAAAAGTGTGAAAATAGAGCTCCACTTCAAAGCTGCACTATATACACCAGGCCCTTCAGGAGTAGGAGACCCTGCTCACGGCACCCGAGTGCCCTCCCGCAGAACTTGGCCATGACGATCTTTATGTGAATACATATGTACGGCACATACACATATAGACACACCGACACTGAAACTGACGGAGTTGGTGTCTCCTCTGGAGAATTTGAAAAGGAAAACCATATGCTTTTATCTCTTAACATAAAAGATAGGACATCTTGAAAATAAAGTGACTCTTTGAATTTATAGAAAGCATTGATCTTTACAAAATAAAAGAAAGAAAGGAAAGTTCACGCATGCTGAGACAAATGAACGTCTAACACAAGAGAGGCAGACTGAAGTGTGGGCAGTCTTGGGTATCAGCCCATGGCAGGGCCGGGGTTCTGGGGTGGGGCTGGGGAGTCAGCTGCCCTGGGCCAGACTGTCTGAGGGTTGATTCTACATAAGCATCAGAACCCAAATTGGGTTGTTCAACCACAACCACGTACAGTGAAATATGTGGTCTCTAGGAGGTGTAGCATGGCTGTGGCCTCGCTGGTCAAAACACTAAGGTCCTAAGATGAGAAACTGATGCCACTGAACAGCTCATGACCAGAGTGTCCACCCCTCACCACCAGTCCCTCTCTGTCTCCGGTGCCCACTTTCTAATTCTGCTTGTGCTCAAAGAGCTGTCTCCCTTCGATACTGTTTCCCAAGGGCCTGTGCCTTTGAACTACAGATCTCTGTGGGCCCTAGAATCAAAGGGGCCAGCACTGCATATTCTGGGATCCTCCATTTCCATCCCCAGGAGCTGAGAAAATGCAAAATAACCCCACATTTAGCAAATGACAAGACCTTTATTTTTCACAGTTTGAAATGATAATCTAGCATCGCCACTGATTGGCCTGCGGAAGCGTCAGGACATGGGGGTGCACAGCCCGGAGTAGAAGCAGAGGCGGTCTTGCCACCCTAAACTCTTGTTGCTTTGCACCTTAGGAAATGAACTCGTGCCAGAGGATCGATTTCAGCTGACTTAGCATCCTCCTCCTCCTCCTCATCTTCGTCTATATTTCATTGTCTTGGTTTAAAGGCTTCGATTCCTTATAAGAATTATTTTTGTTTCCTGAATATTTTTCTGAACTATCTGCTATACCTTCCACAACCAAACTATGTTGAAGTTTTATTTCAATACTATGACAAAAACACGTTTCACACTAAAATATTCACGCATCCACAGTGCACAAGCTTGCAGTTCTAAAGTAGAATGAGAAACAAAAGCAAAATTTCTATACAAAGGGCTGGCTTTTCCCTTCTCCCCCCTCCCATCCCCCTTAAAGTTTCTGTGTTTTCCCCCCACTTGGTTTCCAATCCAGGAAAGTTGTGTTATGACTCCAGACAATAGGTTTGTTTGTTTGTTTGTTTCTACAAATGCTGCCTAAGTGAACAGAAGGCTGATGTTACTTTACTTCAACAGATTTCCAAAAAAAGACACTAATTCCCTGAAGCACACATGCTCTTCCGCTCAAATCTAGATTCCGGGCTCAAAAGGAAATGGTATGTATGTATTTTATTTGGTTTTCTACAAACAGGGGATGTTTGGGGTAAAAATGTGTGTTCACCAAGACCAGCCCCAACTATACAATCTTCTCTGCTTCATTCAACAAAGCCTAAGGAGTCCTTCAGAAGGAAGGGCGTGGACGCCCGGGAGGCAGGGCCTGTCACAGACACAGGCAAGTGGCAGCTCATCCGAAAGTCTTCTAACCCCCAAAGAAACACAAAAGAATCCCAGCTCTAAAGGCCAAGCCATTCCACAATGAGACGGATCTTCTTCACCTGAGTTGGACACAGGCGAAAAAATGACAATCACAATGGGATGGGGGAAGAGCCACTGTAAACAGTCATCTTTTTTCTTGGTGCCCTGTGCTGACGCAAGCCTGTGATGATCCCATCAACCTCTAGGCGATTATCAGTTACTTTAAAAAAAAAAAAAAAAAAAAAAAAAGGCAACTATTTTACATGGACATTTCAACACAACCGAAGTCAAACATTTGTCAACTTGTAAACACTGGAAAACAAAGTTGGCAGAAAGGAAGGAAAAAGAAAAGAACCCAATAAAAACAATGGAAAGAAAAAGAAAGCAAAAGAAGTGTGAATACTGCAGATTGAGATCTATCCCCAGAAGCTGCAATTTGGCATTCTTCTACAAAACGAGTCTATGTGGGAACTGAATTCAGCTAGTAAGGGTGACACACTTTGCATACTGAACAAATACAAAGTGAACAGAAATTATAACTTATTTATGAGGTTTTACAGAGTCTGAACTTGACTAAAAGTATAAAAATAAACTGTGGACTTTGTTCATTCGGTTAGTCTTAGTGCCTGAAAGTATTTCTCTGAAACTGGTCTATGCCAATTGGGTAACACCAAGTGTGGTCTTCCTGAACCTAGATTTCTTTCTTATTTTTTTTTTTTTTCTGAGCTTCCTAGATTCTTAATTTGGGGTCCTTTTGTTTGATTTTTAAATGGTTTCAGGGAACGGAGTGTCCTAGTTTGGCTGTGGGTTTAACCTTTTTGTCTCATTTTCTTACAAGTGAACGCGCAACAAAGGAGCCCTTTCTATAGACCTACAAAAAGGAGATCCCGTGTTTATCTGTTTAGTTTTTTTTTTTTTTAAAGGCAAAAGACACTAGAGGAATGAGATTTGTGTGTGTGTGTGTGTGTGTGTGTGTGTGTGTGTGTGTGTGTGGCATTGGAGACGCTCTGGTGAAGCTGCTGTCACTTTTTATTTTGATCTCTGCTCGCTGCTCACCACCCGTCATGCTTTGCTCTCGTTCTCCGCTGTGGTTTGTGTGGCGTCATTGGGGACCGTCTTGACTTCGGCTGGCGCTGGCTTTGTTTCTGACTCCTGGCACTCCGACTTTGCTTCTACTGGGCCCTTCCTGCAGAGAATCACAAAACAGCACTGCTGAGCCCCCAGATGACAGACCTCTCCCCACCTCTGGCCTGGCCCTTGGGGGTTTCTGGTCAGAGCCCTCATCTCCAACTGGGAAGCGTGTTGGGATTCTCATGATGCCCCAAATCCTGGACATGTGATTTTTAAAAGCATCCAGGTGACTCTAGGGCTTCCTCTCCATCCTCAGCAGCTGTGACGGTTGTGCCTCTATGGTGGCCTGGGAGGGCACAGGGAGGGCACTTTCCTCAGGAGCTTGGCAAGGGGAGAGAGCAGGCCTGCTTGCTACCAAGGGTGGAGTAGGCAAGGCTGCGGCACACTCCATTTCCTGATGCTGCCCTTCAGGGGAACTGATGAGGGTCTGTTTGTAGCTTTTAGTGGCAGCATGACAGTTTACCTGGGGGCAGGCACAGGAACCTCCAGGTCTGACTCTGCCTCCACGGGTCTCAGGAGCAAGAGTCAGACCTAAGGACACAGGGGAGCAGGTGCAGACCCCGACTAAGACATGTGGGCATCACATTTCGGAAACTTAAAGGGGGAGGCCTTTCCCTTGGACTCAGAGACCCAGCAGGCATTTGGTGTTTGGCAGCCTCTGGTCCTACCAGCCCCTTGGAGAGCAGCAGAAGCTGGGTTGGGTGGGGAAGAGCAGGCACCTCAGCCAGCGAGTGTCAGGGCCTAGTACTGCATCCTCCCTGCACAGGGGCCCAAGGGGCTGCCTCCTCCTTCCTGCACAACACTGCCTTGCTGGGGGGTGGGGAACACAGCCTGGCCCTGGATAACACACCAGCTATGCCCAGGGAGGCAGAGAAGGGCACCTTGGCCTCCTTAGAGCCTCCCCAAGCTATGCTTGTCAGTGGCCTGACTGCAAGGCACCCCAGGGAAAGCAGAAGGCTGCTCGGCTGATAAGGGTGAAACATAATTACCATGGCCTAATTAGCAAGCCGGCAGTTCGCTTGCCCTGGCCCTCTTGCCTGCCCCTGTTCTGCCTCTGCCCAGCCCCTTGGTTGACAGTCGCCTCAGAGAAGCCCTGAGTGAGGCTGAGGACACGTCTAATAAGGAGGACACAGCACAGCACAGACGCACACCACCACAGGACACAACCCGACAACAGCAGACAAAGAGAGGCCGTACTCGGTCTTTGCTGGTGCAGGTGACACAGAGCTGTCGGCAGTGGAAGGAGCAAGCTCGGGGGCTTGTCCACTGGCCCCAGCGGCAGGAGCAGGAGAGCCCAGGGCTGCAAAAACATCCTTTGCAAGGTCAATATCTGGGGTCTTGAAGTTCCCTTCGTCCATTTTAAAGTCCTTGCCCTGGGAAGGGTTTGTGGCGCTGACGGAGGCAGCCTCGCTCTTCGGGCTAGCAGGGGCTGTGGCTGCCTCGGGTGGGCTCTTCACAGCGCCGGGTTGGGTGGGCTCTGGGTCCGGGCCTTTGGTGCTGAGAGCCTCCTGCTTGGTCTGGGGGGTTTCTGTGGCAGGGGCGGCCGCTGCTGCTAGCGGACTGGCTGCCCCTGCTGGGGTGGAGGCTGGAGCGGGGGCCGGTTTGCTGGCTGGAGGGGCCTTAGAGGCCTCCCCTGCACTGGCTGGGGTGCTGGGGCAGAGGACAGCTCCTTGATTAGCCAGGACACTAGAGGACAAATTGCTGGCAGCAGGGGCTGAAGTCGGGGTGTCACTCAGGTCAACAAGGGGGGCGACCTTGGGGACTGGGGACTGGGAGGAGGTGGTGACGACAGGCCCCTTGGAAGGGGTGGCTTGGCTAGCCGGCACAGAGTTTGAGTCCGGCACAGCCGTGGCTGGTGGGGCAATACTGGAAGTCAGGGTGGTGGTCTCACTGGTGGGGCTGTTCTGAGCAGTGGCAAAGGTTTCGGTGATAGTGTCAGAGTTAGTGGTGACGGTGGTGACAGAAGGCAGCATGTCCTCGACAGTGGCTGTTGTGTCGGCAGGTAGCCTGTGGAGAGGACAGGAAGTAGAAGAAAATAGACAATGAAAGCTGAAACATGACAGAGAAGCCGGCAGCAGGGCAGAAGCCAAGGAGAGGGGCTGTGGGTGGGCATGCACAGGCAGGAGCAAAGGTCCACAGAGAAACGAGGACGCTGAGAGGTGGCACATGCCCAGGAGGTGGGCAGAAGAGGACACAGGAGACAACGAAGAACATGGCAGTATCAAGGGACCTGCTAGCCCTTCCTCCCTGCTGACCTCCCTCCCTCTCTGCACAGGGCTCCTGTCCCCACAGCCCATCTGAAACTTTCTGATGTCCAACCGGAGTCTCCACTCCAGGACTTTGGCTCAGGGTCCATCTACTCTAGGCTCCCTGGGCCCCAGCAGAATGAGGCCCAGCTACCTTGCGAGGTTTTGGGGCAGGGATGGGGAAAGTCAGGAGTCAGGCAGCTGCTGTGTGCTCTGAGAGGCCTCTAAGAGCTGTGGGTTCTTCCACGTCCAGATTTTTGTGGTTCTGTGGAACTCTACTCCCTTCTAACCCATAGGATCTTCCATAGCCAGGCAGGTATTTTCCTAAATACAGTACAGCTTATCAGGAATCCTGATGCTTTTGAACAGAAGAGGGCCAGGGGATTTCACCAGGTAGGTCCTCAACTCCTTGGGTTTTAGAAGGAAACAGAAAACCCTAGAATCCTAAGAAAACCTAAAATGCCAGCTAAGCCTCTTTCAGTCAGGTTTTGCCCTCTTAAACCATTTCCAGAATCAGGGTGCCACTTGGAATGGGTTCAGGGATCCCCGCTTGTGCATGGAGCCTTGCAGTGGCTCTCAGAGCCACCCCAAGTAGAACCAAGAATGCCTTCTCTCCAGAGAGAGTGGGGTCAGGCATTGACTTGCCAAGCAGGTTTCCTGGGATGGCTCCAGAAGGAGTCCTGGTTTGGCCAGTGGGAGGCATGAAGGATGGGGGAGGACGGCGAGGTAGGGTGCAGCTCTACTGAGGGCGGGCCAGCCCCTCCCCCCACATACTCGGGCTCTGTCAGCGGGGTGGTCTCATTGGGCTCTGTATGTTTCCCTCCATCATGGTTAGGGGTCCGCTCCTCCTCGGTTCGAACTTCCACGATGGGCTCCTTGGATTCATCTTTCCTGTGGAGACAGTTCTGCTGGTTATGCCCTGGGACCGGAGGGGGTCCCCAGGGAAGGCAGCAATAGCTCAGGGGAGGGAGACCTCACCCGAGGTTGCCAGGGTGAACGTCCAGAACCAGGTGTAAGCATTTGTGTGTCAGCCTGACCCTGGGGAGCTGTGTGACCGGGGGCATACATGAGTCACCCCTGCTTCAGCTTTCTTAGCTTGAGATGAAGCAGTGTAGGATGTGCCTGGCCTAGATACTATGAGAATGAAAGGAGATGGGGGATGGACAACGGCAATCCAAGTGGCTGGCACCGCACGCGTGTATCTGTGAGCATGCACGCAGGCCATTGTACACCTATGTAGGCAGATACACAGTGCTAGGCATGCGGTGGCATTGAGCCACCTATTCTCTTTTTGTGCCCTTTCACCTTGCTCCAGCACGCCCCATGCTGCAAGGGTCTCCAAAGGCTTTTCACTCAACATCTGTTTCTCCCTGGATGCTGCTGGACAGAACAATCTCTGGACTGTTGCCAGCTCCTCAAGGACAGGGATTTTTATCCTTTTGGTCTGCTGTCATACCCCCGACTTGGAAATCATGCATTGCTCTTCCTTCCTAGCTGCTGGCTGAGTAATTGTTGAGTGATATATGAATGAATGAATCAAGGAAAGAAAAAAATTCAGGTGAGTGTTTCCCTCAACTACTGGTCCTACGGCCTATTTTGATTTTCACAGGGGTTTTCAAACTTTGGTCAGATTCTATCATGCCAGATTGGGAGCTGGGCCTAAGAGCCTGTTTTTCAAACAGGTCACCCCTAACTCTGAGCCACTCAAGACCACATGTGGGGAGGCTTTCTCCAGTGCATATTGCCACTCAGGGCTTCCAAACGAGGAAAGTGAAGGTAGAGGAAAGGTCACTGTAGTGGTGGTGGCGAATGACTCAGAGGTGGCATGGCTGCTGGGGCTTTGGCTAGGGGCCGAGCCCAGACCCCAGCGGGGCCTGGGTTTCACTCACGAGAATGCAGCCTTGCCCTCCTCCATGTCCTTGCCCTTGGCTCCGGGCCCAGCTTTTCCACACAGGTTGACAGCGATGCACATAAGCAGGCCGCACTTGTTCAGGAAGTAGCAGGTGATGTCCACAACCACCAGGAGCAGGACAAAGATGACAATGAGGATGCCCACGATGGCCCCAGTGCTCAGGCCTGCTGTAGGGCTACCATTGGCTTAAGTAAGAAAGAGAGAGCCTAAGGTTAACAGGCTGAGATTGGAGTCCTGACCTTGCAAACCCTGCAAGCCACAGCCCGGGGGGCAGGCCAGGGGCCAGGGCACAAGGCCAGGGCTCTGTTACCCAGAGTTACACCTTCCCTGGGGCTGCTCTATGCTCTGTGTGGAGACAACAAGGTCTCTGTACATCTTCCAAAGAGAAAGGTGACAGCCTCATCTCATCTCAAGAGTGGACAGAGGCTTCCCAAGTGAGGGTGTGTGTGGGCTTGGGGGCCAGGTCTCTACCCTGCTCTCAAGGCCTGAGTCCTCCCGGAGCAATGAGCCCCTAGGGCCTACCTATGACTGCAGGGAGCCAAGGGCACTGGATGGAGGTGCAGCTAGAGGGCACGGCCATGTGCTCACAGGGTGCTGGGGGAAAGGTGGCATGG